GCAGAGATGGTGGTGGTGATGATGATGCATCAACTGTGTGGCTGTAGCTTTATGAAAGATATAAGATAGAAATACAGCATACACTCATCATATACGATAAAAGTATATATCGTGTATATCGATAAAGGAGCCATAGCAGAATAATAAGAATGATAAAATAAGGACACTATCAAAGGATATATTGAAGAGAGAGACTGTATAAGGATACGAACTAAAGGATACACATCAAAAGAATGAAGAACAGATGCTAATATCCGCACAATCATAAATCTGACGTTCATTTCCTACGAAAATAATTTTTTTTTAAATAAGAAATCGAATTGTAAACTTACTGCTTAGAATATGAGCTTCCCCAAGAACATATTAGTCTCATGCTTTAACAGAAAGCTTAACAGTATCGACAGGTCTGATATTCGAAAAAAAAATGAAATCATTCTGGACATGTTAAATTTCTTAAAATTGATCAAGATATAAATATCACGGCAATACTTTTGAACGAGTCATCTATTTAGTGTCTCATATGCGAACTAGTTCATTCCCTACTTTTTATCATTTTTTTATCTAGCAAAACGCGTTAGTATATGATTTCGATGTGACGAAGAAATAATTTTTTTATTTATAAAGGTAATTTGCATATACTACGCGTTCCATTACCGATTTGTTTCTGAATGAGATGTGTCTCTTTATTTAAGAATTCTTTTTGAAAGAGTAACCAGTAAGATATGAAATATTTTGTTTGGTATCATCTCTAATACACAGCTCTTATATTGACCAATGCATTTAAATAGATTATACAACATAATGGTAAGTCAATATCTCTCTTTTGAATTATTTCCAATATTCTTTACTAAAATTTGAGATTGTTCTAATTTATTTTTTTTAAAAAATATTTATAAGAATTCACTGCAATAATACAACATAGAAAAAAACTATAAAAAAGATTGTTTGTTATTTTTCTATGTTTCTATAGTAAGATAAGATCAATGGTTGATTATTGATTTGATATTTATCAGAATTGTTCATAACTTGATCAACTTGTTCAATATTTGTAAAAGATAAAAATGCATATCTAAATCATAAAGAAAAGAAAAGAAAATAATTGAAATATTCAAATATAAATATTACCCAAATAAAATTTTCTGATTTGTATTTGATTTTGGAACAATTCTTAATGGAATATATTTCATTTTTTGACAATTAAATAATTTTATTAAATCATTTTCAGTAACATTTTCAGGTATTTGCTGAATAACAATATTCCATTTTTCATTTAATTCATTTTCATTTGAAAGTTCATCGAGATTTTTAACAAATTCTATTTGACAATTTGATCCAAAACGTGAAGAACTAATTGCTCGTTTTCTATTATATTCAGCTTGAAGATTTGTATGATGAAATAGAAATGCATAATTAAGATGTGGTGGTAATTGACTTTGTTTGAAAATAATTTTTGTTGAACCAATAAAATAATTTCGAAGATGATTTTTTGTTATTTGTTTATTTAAATTTGATAAATATAAGATTTTCTTTACATCAACTTCATATTGATTCTTAGTTGCTTTTTTTATTATAAATTCATTATGATTTGTTATTCTCTATTTATTAAGAATATTTTAAATATAAAAAAAACAATTAAATTAAATAAACTTACTGATAATTTATTAGTTTTTGAATAAGTTTGTTTATTTATTGATTGATCATTAGATGATGATGATGATGGTGGTATATCAAGAATATTTAATACTTGTTCAGAAGTTAAAGATACAGGTTCATTATTATTCATACAAATGTCATTAGGAAAATCTTCTGATGAAAATAATTCATTAAAATCAGTTTCATTATGAATTTGTGTAAATGTCATTGATGTATTCGAAGTATCCATTAAGAAATCTTCTCTAAATATTCAATTGATTTCTTTCTTTGCATCAATCTTTCAAATGGAACTTACTCATTAATATTATCGAGGAATAAAATATCTTCATCTAAATAAATAAATTCTAATAAAATATTTTTTAAATAAAAAGAAAATACTTTGTTGAGTATTGATTTGAAGATATTTTTGAATATATTTCTGAATATTTTCATCATTATATAAATTCAAATCAATCGATTCATCTTGATTTGAACTTGAGGATAATTTACATTGACATAAAGAAGAATTTACAGTAAATTCATTATAAAAGCAAGATGGTAAACTAAAATGAATTGATTCACACAGAATTTCATGTTGAGTAAAACTTTGTGAAAGAATTCCTCCAGATAAAATAAGAATTTCACCTGAATTTTGAATAACTTTTTTATATTTAATATTATATTTCTTAAATAATAATGGATCAATTAATATTTGATCATGTTCAAGACATCTTGATGGGTTAGTTTCTTTAAAAATATTTTCGAATTTTTTTCTTTCTTCTGATGGAATTATATACCAATAGCGAATGCCACCTTCATGATGATAATTTAATTGATAAAGATTTTGTTTATTTGAGGATAAAGGAAATATTGCAGCAGGTCCATGTGCTTTGATTAATCTTGATGAATATTTATTACAAAATTCTTTTCCAGATAATTTTAAAAGTGATTTGAAAGGTAATTGATGAAAATCAAATTGATCACGTTTTAAAAATAATGATTGTGAATTAATTTGTGAGATACTTGAGATATGTTGTGTACTTGAACCATTTGGTAATAATAACCAAAACATTTCATCATTTGGTAATAATAACCAAAACATTTCATCATTTATTAAATTATTTTCTTTTGAAATTTCTTTCTTTTCTTTCAATGAATTTGTTTTTATTGAATAAATGAAATTTTCCTTATCAATTTGTTTAACTTGTTGAATAGTTGAACATAATGGAATATTTATTGGTGTTTTTTTTAATAGATTTTTAAAATTTGATGTTGGAATTAATTTCATTGCACCATTTTCTTTTAATAATGGTTGATTTTGATAAAGATATTTTAATAAATCTTTCATTTCATTATCTTTTATTTCAATTGTTGGAATATCAGATGATTGGGTGGACATTTTTCTGGGTCGAAATTAGTAGAAAAACACGCCTTTCTTTTTCTTCCTTTGTAATTATCGATAATCAAATGTGTTCGTTAGAAAACGTTTTCTTTTTCTCTTTTGATTATGTGATTGATAGATAAATGCAAATACAGTTAAGGTTACATTTTTATTCGAATCAAGCAGATGAAAATTATTTACTTAAACATTTTATTGAAGATTATTATATTGACAAATCCGAAGATTAAAATAAATTCAATAATAAGCGAATTTAAAATTCATGAAAATATCATTTTTTTTTCTTCTAAAAACACATTTTTTATGTGTAACATTACTTAATTATTTATCGAATTATATTTTTACTCAGTCATCTAATGACGTCAAAAAGGAAATTTCATTTTTTTCTCATTCTGATCGAGAATATTACATAAGTTTTTGTTTTTTCTAATATAACTTCTATGGATAAAGACGAAATGATCGAAGAATAGTAGATATACTTCTACTTCCTTCATAATATTTATTTATTTTTGTTACCTTGAATAAGAAAATATTCGTATCGTGTTAATTCATCTAATTTATCATAAACGTCAAAATCTAAATGTAAGAAGAAAGTAAAAACATTTCATTTAAAGAAATGACTGAAGATGCAGATGTAAATACAAATGAATCATCACAATTATTTTATGGATGAAAGTCTTTTAATAGATTTGATTTGATTTCAAAATGAAAATGTTTACATGGAGCACTGATTTATTAAAAAAAAACATATAAAAAAAGGAACAATTAAAATAAATTCATTAAAACGAACTATATTTAAAGCAATAAAAATAAGAATTCAATGGAAATTTTGTTTTCTTACGATTTTTATTACTTTTAATTAGAGGAAATTTTTCTGCGTTTTTTTTCATGTTTTATCTTAGAAAATGTTTAATTTAAAAAAAAAGAAATTTGAAATATATATCAACCATGTTCATAGATATTATTATTTTCAAGTATGGCTTTATGCTATGACAATGTTTTTTCTTTTTTTTTATCGACGTTTTCTATCTAATGAAGTAATTGCATTTTTTCTCTTATTCTTTTCATATTAACGTTTTTGATTTATTTAAAAGACGTATTATTATTTATTAAAATTATCATTACAAATGCGTATTGATTATCAACGTTTACTTTTACACAAAGCTATTTAACTTCCAATAAATCTACTTACTCATTTTCTTTTCTGGTCTATTGGTTTCTCTCCGTTCTCTTTTTCATTTCGAATAAGATAGTGAATCGAATCTTGCGTCTACCTCAATAATGAGTCAAGTTACTTTTTCCTCCTCTAATGTATAGTATAGAGTATGTGGGAAGTAACAGAACGAAATATTCACATTTTTGTCTCGTATTTGTATCTCTTTAGCTCTCTCTCTCATGTAAAACTAATGAAAATATTTTTAATGATTAATATGACGCCAAAAGAAGTCAATAGAGAAGACAGCGCTGACTCATTGAATGAAATGAATTTTTCAAATCCACAAGTTCTCATAAAGAAAAGTGACTGACGATAAATTGAACCATGAATAACTATATAATATATAAAGAAAACTATGCGATAGACAATAATGAACAAGTCACACTCCCTGATCACAAACTCAAGGAAATAGAAAAATCTGCGTACAAAAATTTCAGAGGTTTCACTGGTTGCTATGAAACAAAAAAGAAACAAGAATCAAGGAAAACGAGTTATGTCGTAGCAAAGAAATTCAAAACTTTCTAATCTAACTTTGATAAATCTTTTCGCCTTGAATATTTTAGGACGAAACATCATATTATGGAATAGAAGACTCAAAAATATCGAATACAGAGCAGATGACACATTAGAGATAATCTGTTAGCTAAGAAAAAAGCAAAAGAAAGTATTTTTATATTCAGTTCGAATCTGTTCAAAAATTTCTATTTTCTATTTAAAATAAGAGGAGAAATAGATTACTTTTCTAATTAATATAAGAAAGTCTATATTCATTTAGTTGACTTTTTTTTGCATAAAGTTTCTATGAAAATTTTCAAATTGAAGAAAGCGAAATAATTTATTAAAAACTTACATAAATCATCTTAGATATTTCTAAGATATATTTTTTTCATTATTTCAATTTCTTCACCAAAATATAAAGAAAATATTCTTGAAAAAATTCTTCTTTCATATTTAACATTTTTTAAAACAAAATCGCTCAACTGTTTCTACGTCTTCTACTACGATGAAAATGCGACGCACTGAACCTTATTCAACATTGGCTTGTTCACCACGCAACAACGTCAATGTTGAATAAGACTTATTACGATTGTACTGTCATACGCACGTAATTGAGACGCAGTCACGCGTAATTATAATGAGAATATCGTAGTTGAACGTAGATACAATAGAAACAAAATCATATTTATCTCAAAGTTCTCTCACATATTCACGCAACAATCCACTGTCGATTAATCTTTCTATTGTGAGAGAAACAATGTCAAATTGAAATCATTTCTCTTTTTATTCAACAAAATATGATTACTGAGCAAATCAAATTATTTAAATGATTATTCGAACAAGTTTCCATTATTTGACAAAAAACGATATCATTGAAATAATTTTGTTACATTTTCATGAATTCATAAAAGAAGATTTGAACGATATGAAACTGATTAGTTGAAGCTATTCATAAGAGCAGAAAGCATGTATTCTAGTCTTAATTAAAAATAATTCCACGGACGTCACTGTTATTTAGAAAATAACGTTTGCATAAAACATTATGCTTATTTGTATTAATATAATTTCTCAATATTTTTATCTTACTAAATTATATTAACATGGAATATTATGTCATTGAACACTTTTCAATCTTAATGATTACCGTATAAAATTGTCTACTCGATTTTATTTGCTATTCTTTCTCTACTGCGAAAATTTTATTATTGTAAAAATAATCATAGTTGAAAACGATTAAGTATGTTTTTCAATTGATAAAACTCTATCTGAGATGGTTTTTGTCCACTGTAATTTACATTGAGAAAATATAAAAATATTTGTCTGATATACAATCGACAATTTCCGTTTCTCGAATTTATTCTCAAATCTTCACAAATTCTATTGTTTTTCAATTTGATAATCATGATGATGATGAAAAAAGAAAAAGAGTTGTTTTAAACTTAATTGATTCAAACAATATATCTCTTTATACATACCATGAACAAAATTTCTAATATTTAACAATTGCTTTTGAACAAATACGATTAAATCAAGATTAAAAACTTATCATTATATTTTTATGAAATTTATTCTCAGAATTTATATTCGAGATGTTTTTCATCTATATTTGATCTTGCTGTAGAAAATCAGATGATATACATACTCTCTATCTTCATTTTATTGTTATATCACACCTTTTTTTCGATTAATAAGATTAACTCTTAACGATCATAATGACATTAATCTTACAATAAACATAACAGTCTTTACTATTCTATTAAATTGACTAAAAAATAGAAAATTAATAGAAATAGAAATAAGAAAAACATATCTCTCGTTCGACCTTTTGAAATGCAATTGACACTAAGGAAACGGAATCGTAACATTCATAATGACAAAGAGTATGATTGCTGCTGATATTATCGATTTAATTCGACCTTAAATATACACTGACGATGAGATCTCTAAAATTCTTATGTCAAATTTGTATCAATAGATGATTCACTCATACCATTGAATCCAATAAACACATATGGATGATGAAATTCTTGATCCCCACTTTCATCAATCCATTTAATAAAATTAAAAAAATATCTGCATGACGAGTATTGGAATCTTCTGAAAAAATAACAAATTATTTCTTAGATATACCAGAAAAAATAAAGTTAACTGATTATCTAACCTTCACCTCATGCATAAACATTATACTAAAATGCAGCACTTCTTCTTTTTGGTTTCAAATGATCGTCAACTACAGGAAAAACTGTTGCATCACTTTGTTCGACATTACTCAACTAGAAAGATTTATTTTAATTAGAACAAATTTCTAATAATATCCAATTAACTTACATAAATTAACCATGTAGCTATACGATTTCCTAGAAAATCAAACTATAATGATATTATTTCTCATAGAGAATTTCAACTCACCAACACCAAGACGCGAAAAAGCATCTGTCTCTCATTTCGAAATTTAACTTAGATTTTTACTAAACTGAAGATCTTCAGCTGTTATCATACTTAAATTTATTACAGTTTCGATTAATCAAGATAAACGAGAAACAACTGGTAAATCTTTATTACTTGACTAACCACTAAAAATAAAATCAAAATCAAACTTGAAATTATATCGATATTTGCAGATAAATAAAAATACAAAACAATAAATACGAGTAAGATCAATTAATAATGACAAAAACATTTGCAATTTAAGAAGCAAAATCAATATTTGCTTCAACTCACATGTTCTTGTTTTCATATTTTAGAATTTCTATAATTGCTCTACTTGACTACAAACATAATTAGAAATAATTATCTTAGATTAAATATTCATGAAATAGGAATGAAAATAAAGAAAAACTATCTTTAATATTTGATGAAATATACAGATTTTAGTCTGATAGACTCTAGTTTTCATCAAAACAATTTTCTTCATGATATTTATGTTTTAAATCTCGAAAAAATGTTTATAGATTCATTGAATAAATTATCTCTATTCTTCTCTCATTGAGATTTTTTTCATAAACCCTTCGTATTCATTGAAGTTTTGTATATAGAATCTGCATTGAACAAATCTAATAAAGAAAGAAATTCAAGTACGAATAATTTAGGAAATCATGTTCTATTTTATTTATTTAAAAGCAACATTATTCACAGCGAAAGATTGTTTTTGAGAAGAACGTTCCAATCATATTTTTGTTTACTTAATAATTTCTATAAAATCCTCAAATATCTCTCGTCGATCTATCATTTTACGAAATAGAAACAAGATTCAACTATATATTCAACAACAAATAAAATCATTCGAACAACATAATATGTAATTTCCTACATGTGTAAACAATTAACAATAAAAGAGATTTTTTATTTCTTAGTAACTCTTATTGATTCGTTAATCAGTTGGTTTAAAAGTATCAGTCACGAAATCGTGAATGACAGTATGTTGTAATTGTAAAAAGAGAGAATCTTCTTTCTAGTAGATTTTCCAATATTTCTTATTTCTATGTATATATAATAGATACTCTTGGTGAAGCTACTCATTTGATTTCTTTATTTCTTTAATAGAACTTCAAATAAGAGATGGATGATTATTATGACGATAACAATAAAATAATTTTGCTTGGCGTTTTCGACTTAAAAGACTATTTCGAAATCTATTAATTGTGTTCCATTTTGTCATATACTTTACATTCTTCGAAATAATCATCGGATCTTACATTATTTATTTTAGCATTTTTCGTTTGTGTAACTGTTCGAAATAATTTTAAATTTTGTTTATCATTCGTATTTATATCACTTTTGCGTTCTTGTTCAGTTAATCTTCGATTTTTTCTAATAATTTCATAATAAATTTTTGTATTTATTATCATGAATATGAGACGGAGCTGGAGAAATTCAAATATATTTTATTTTTAATAAAAACAAATCAAATATTATTTATTAATTGTTAGCATTTCTTCAGTTACTGCTAAAGTATGTTCAATATTTCCCACCGACAAAATACCAGATTTAATTGAGAATAAAGAGAGAAAAAAAATTCTTCTCTTTTACTTGTGATGTTATATAAATAAGATAATCTAAAATATGAATTTTATTTCGAGATGTTTTATTCATTTCTTTATTTAAATGATCGAGTGCTTCTTGCGTCCACATTAATCTATGATAACAAATCTCTATTTATATAGGTAATACGTCGCAAATCATAACATTCCAAGACTAGAAACAAATAAATTAGAGAAAAATCGATAAAGAAATTTTTCTTTGACTAATCACTCAATGGCTTTTATTTAAATTTGTTTGGATGTTTCACCATTTGCTACTTAATTTCTATTTTATTTTTATATATCGCGTAAACGCATTAGTCTAATAGCAGATCCTATTTGATTTTCAATATGAAAAATATTTCCTCACAACAATATATCATTACTCATTTACTTCTTTAATCTTCAAATGATAGGAATAAAGCATTAGGAAGAAATTTTTGTAAAAAATCTAAAGAAAATATTCATTGAT